TGGTGTAATCTTACCTTAACAATTATCTTTACAAACCAGCTTAGTTTCGTCAACGTAACAAAAAAATTGCAAACTCAATGGGACGGGCTGTTCACTTTACGATCCTTGAAGCTATAACGCATACCCAGAAGTGGTCAATAATCACTATGCCGCACTAATCGCGCATCAAATTGGACCAAAGCCCGATGAAAAATGAACTACATATTGCGCGCTACCAAAATTTATATCACCACAACACGCGAAAAGTTATCATCTAATTGGATAAGTAGGTGGTGCCGAGTGCGGATCAAAAGAAAGGACAATTTCGGTCATTATGTTCGGAGATTAAATCTCTGGCTAGGACACGAGGTGACGTCATTCAAATATATAATGCGACGCTGTCTACAATTTCGGAATTTTCCGAAATATGGCGAATTTTAACATAACACAATTGAAACCGGCAGTGTAATGTGTTAAGCGTTTAAAGCGTCGGCAAACATCTTGCCTGTAATTTTGATGGTTCAGTACTTATTTAGAATTGCACACGTTTGAATTGTTCATTTATATGTTTCGTCGCAATATGCGATCGTTTTACCGCGATTTTATTCGAAACCGAATAAAAAACGCCCTATTTAACGGGCAAAGGTTTACAACCAACCGGGTCAAATTCCGTACCTTACGTAATTTGTGAATCATCTTAAAGGATCAACTGATAACGCGCGTATCTCGATTGCCACCTGCGCGAATAACACTTAAACATTTAAAAGTATTCCGGAAACCTTGAACTTAAATCCCCGACCGCATGAACCAGATGTTTTGACAGGCGAATGTTTTCTTCCCGGTCGCGAAAGATGCCGTCTGATTTTGGCAAATTGTCAATGCGCGAGGACGCGTCATAAATGAAAACTCGAGTGGAACATGATTAAAAACATGTCGGCTCACCTAATAATCTCCAAATTCGAAACGGGACCATAAAATCCGTCACTTAACCTCACAATTTCCGATCACTGACATACTAACGGCCGAACTAAAACGCACGGGATCTGGTCGTTCGCGATAGCGGCACCAAAGCACCTCCATATTCATATTTTCGGAAACAATATCGGTTTAAAAGTCATGCCCGGTCCCCTTTAAATCGCGACGTGCCGATTTATTTACCGTATTTGTGGGTAAATCATCGGCGTCACAGAATACAATCGGCTTTAGTTACTATCTGTGCCGGAAAGCGAGCGGAACGCACGTCAGGTAAATTTAAGGGCCGTAAGTCAACTGCGCCATACGTTACGCTTGCAGACCGTTTGTCCGTAAAATAAAATTTCAGCTGTTTGGAAATATTTCCGCCGAGCTCCGACCTGGAGTCCAATGCTGATGCGAAAGGTATTTCCGCTTCTCCCGACCGGAAAATATCTAATTGCACGCCGCTCTAGCGTGCGGGAAGCGTTACTTTACACGTCAGTTTCATTTCCCACGGATCCGAGCCACTTCGGACATTTCCGGGATTTGGGAGCAATCGAATGTTTTCGGAGATTTTACCGTACGATTTGAATTTTAACGTTTGTCAATTCTGACGGTCATGTGAGTCCCTGTATTCGTGTTTTTTTTTTGCAAAAATGCGTGTGCAAGGGTCCACAAAAAAGACCATTTTTCAAAAACTGTTTACGAGACCCAAAAAATTCTTGAACCAGAAGACGCAGAGGAAACGACTCCATAAACTTTTATTCTTGACAATGTTTCAAAAATATACAGGGTGCGCCGCAAATTAAAAAAAAAATCAAAAATGTGTTCCCCTATTATCGAAAATTGGCAATAATTCCAAATCTGTGTTTTAAGCTTAAACTTTTGTATTTACGGTTTTTAGGTATTGTACAGGGTGTTCGCAATATTCCGTGCAATACTAAAAAAACATAAGAAGTGTTCCAAATTTGCAAATATCGACTTCAAACTTGAGAGAGAAGTAGAAGTCTGGACCCGCATTTAGACTTTAAATTGGGAGCAATAAAATAACGCTACTATTTTTTTTTATTTTTGAATTTTTTTGTGGTTATTTTGGCATCCAGAAAAATATCTTTTCCTCCAAAGCCATTCATCCGATCGGAAAAATTTTACATCCGTAATACGTGGGAGTCCCGGCGCTATAACTTTTGTTTTACGCATTTTTTCGATTATATACAAGATGTTTTAGTTATGGACAACAATCTAAAAGACCCTGAAAATTTTTCTTTTAGAGAGTAAATTATTAACCGTAAATCAAAATTCGTACAAACAATAGCTAATCCGTTCAAACAGTGTTATAGGCCGTATCAAGGGCTACAATTTTTGTATTTACGGTTTTCGTCTATCACATACGCTGTTCGAGATATTTGAAGAAATCCAAATGAAAATCATCATTTCTCGCCCTCAATCTAGACGCGATGCTGTCATTTACTATTACCAAGTGCTACATGGTTTCAGAAAACAAGTAGTTTTTTGAAAACCATTTACTCCATAGCCTCTATTTCGAATATTACGATTGTATACAGGGTTCGTCGTTTGTGGGCAAAAAATTCTAATAGATCCTAGACATTCCCTCTTTTGTAGGTGAATTATTGGCGATAAATGAAAAACTTTTAAAAATGTGATAATTTTATATGAACAGTTTCGTAAACTGTGTTCAGAGAGAGTTTAAGGTTTCGTCTATAATACAGGGGGCGCAAGATATTTCAAAAAATATAATTTTAAATTGCAATTGCCAGTACAAATTTTAATATTTACTGAATTTTGGCGTAACCTTGAAGTGCGACGAGATATGAAGGACACTTTATACAGGGTGTATTCACAATAAAATAACATCGATTCTGCGGAAGTTCTATAGTGGTCCGCAGGAGCACAATAGAAAAACAATACGTCCTAGAGGGACAAGCATAAGCGAAGCGTCTTCTTTTTAAAATAAAAAGCTGATTGGCGCTACTTGCGACGAATTTGCCCCGCCCACCGACGATTTTTCGAAAGCAATCTTGTTGTGTTCGCACAACGTGTCCAATTGCGACTCTAAAATATATTCCAATTAAAATGAATTATCATAATGTTATGAAATAAATAAGAATATTTAATTTCTTAGAGATTCAAGCGGACGTGAACAATATTTATATAATAGGAACGTTTAGACATGATAAAAATAATAGTGCCATGTAAATGTGCTACGGTTGCGCATTTACATAGTACTATTATTTTCAAGCACACAATCGTGTATGCACAAAGGTTAAACAATTTAATCACGGCCATACCATTTGCGTATACGCAAATTAAGTGTGTTATCGTAAAAACACCGATTGCACTTAATCAATGAATATGTAGACTGGGGCCCTGATATACAATCTGCATGTAAAAAATTAAACGGGGCAGAGAGTAATCGGTAGGTATATGAGAACAGAGTCCTTAAGGGTTGTCTATTGTGCTTGCTAATTTGCAATATTGTAATAATATTTTAGGATAGTGCTTCTAACATACACAAATACTAATAATAATAAAGAACCTTATTGAACGTTCTTTAAGATAGATAACTATCGATTCTATGAAATATATTAAAACAATAAAAAACTTGAAGAAAGCTGTCGAGGAAATGTTTAGTGACACTAGAACTAAACTAGATTAATGGTTGCTGTTTTATTTTTGTAAAAGCGAATTGAAATAAAGAAATTTTATTATTATTATTATTTTTTTTTATTGTACCACAGTATACAGGTTATTTGAATCAAGTATTTTGTTTTTTCCGTGTAATATACAGGGCATTCCATAAGAAGAAAAAATGTTTGGATCCCCCTGTATACGTGAACATAACACGGAAAAAAACTTTCAGTTATACACCCTGGAACTTGTGAAAAAAATTATGGGGTGTGTAATATAATGGATCACCCTGTACCGTGCGTTCAATTTATCTTGATAACATTTTAATTGGATGTAACATTTCCTGACATACAGGCCTATATTTTTTAATGGAACACCCTGTATATTATATATGTGTTATCTTATTCCTATTACAATGACGTGACACACTTTATATTTTAGTACACTCGTTTTTGACAAATCGGCAAAAATAGGAAAGTTTTAGATAATTTCAAAAGCTGCAGTTGAATTGTTGTCCAAGTCATTATTGTTAAAATGGTTTTTCGCGAATTTAGCACCCGTGAAAGGAGTGATATGCTTCAAGTATACTTTCTGAATAATAAAATTGCAACCGCAGCTCGTCGTCAGTATATTAGACTTTATCCACAGATATTTCCAAGGCAGTCAAAGAAATTTGCAGAAAAAGGTAACGTATTAAATGCTAGAAAGGTATGCCGGAATCATAATGAAAACTTTCACAGTTGGCTTCTTCAGAGCTTGACTGAAACTAGTTCTAGGCAACAAAACCCGACGCATGAGGAATCCAGACTTTTTATAAAAAGTACCACCTAATTAATATATTGTTTTTATAAAAATGTATTTACTTATCTAGTTTTTTCCATCCTGTGAGCTTATTTTTTAACAGATTTTTAAAATTTCGGTTTCTTTTCTTCCCACTAATGTGCTATTTGAAAAAAATTAGGTTATCCTAAAAAATTAATGGTTCATTACATTGAATTATGCTATTAGGCAAGTAAAGAAAAGTTTCATTTGCAATTTTTCACATGATGAGGTGACCCGCATTTATTAGCATTTATAATAGTCACAGCCTCCTAGATACAGTTTTCAAAAATTAAATGAAAAAAGAAGAGAAAAACCGTCATATCAACTGTTTGTATGTTATATATTTATCTTGTTTGTACTCTTCCCGACTTCAAAAATGCGTTTTTGTATTTATAAGTGGTCAATAAACGATTATTATTATTATTATTATTATCAACAAGCACCGGTGTGTGTATTCGATTTGAACTAATCTTTTCGATAAAATCGGAATATGTTGATTGATAGGTAGCTCGAGCGATCTTCACTTGTTGAACGTCACCCGTAGTTAGTAAATCACGCTTCGTCAACTTTTTGAAAGAACTTTATTATAAGGAGACTGGAAATTACAACCTAAAAACGGCCTTGGCGATGGTTCCCTTTTTTAGTAGCTCCATGGCTTCCTGGTAATCTTGCAACTTGAAAACTTTAATGCCCAACTTCTCGTAGTCCAAATACCTGCTGCCCATCGCTTCCATGAATCCCACGGCTTTCACGAAGCTATACGGGTTCACGTTGATGGCGAAGATCTTGGCTTCTTTCGCGTAAAGCTGATACGGCGAGACACTAGAAGAGTGAAAAAAAATTTACTCTAAAGTATGTTTCTGAATAGGCGTAGGTAGAAAATTAACCCAAAAAAAAACATACAAATTGGGTAATATTTCAATGGCCTATTAATGTTTCTAATCTAGTGTCAACAGTACGTCATACGTGGTCTTTTATAGTTCGGGATTTTCTTTCGTGCAATAATTTTTTACAACTTTAGACTGGACTAACTCAACAACAATGTATCGATGAACTTAATTCGACTTTTGGAGTTAAAGCACCATCTAGGACCACTGTTTATGGCTAGTTTTCGGTCTTCAGATGTGGTCGTAGTTTTCTTAAGGATTAATTTCGTAAAGGTCGTCCAAAATCCCACAAAAGTTGTTCGTGCACGAGGCACCTCGAAACAAATGGTGGCCTGATATCAAAAACCTTGAATGATATAAATTTTGCTTGAGACCGATTTAAATGTTTGTTGAAAATACTCGAAAAGTGTAAAATGTTAAATAAAACTATTACTAGATTTCGTCAAACTGTCATGCAAGACCATAGCCAAAAGTAGCGCCAACATCTACATTTTGAATAAGAAGATTGAATACAATTGTTGAAAATAAAAATTAAAGCTGTAATCTTTAATATCAAACCTGTGGAGATTCAAATTAACAAAATTCTCAGTTCTCCAAATCTGTGTTAGGTAGGTTTAGAGATATGAAACTTATTATTAGAAGAATTGTTATTTAATGTTTCTGGAATGATATCGTCAAGAGAACCAATATGCCAGCAAAGTCAGCAAGAAGGGGCAATTAATTTCTGTTATGCGAGATTATGCAATAATTATTTATTCCAAATCAAACATTTCGTGGGCAGCTTTACATTCGACAAGAATTTATACGGGTGTTATCTTAAACTTACCTCAAAAAGTAAGTAATATTTTAATATAAGATAAATTACTAACTTACCCTATTTTTTTTGTTAATTGAAATTGTAAGCAAATTATGAAAAAAAAACATAACTTCCATTACTGCCTAAACTAAGCAAAATTTGGATAGAAATTTCTTAAGTATAGTGGATCGTTTTATTTGGCACACGGTGTACATTGAACTTTGCATTACGGAGAAAATCCTTTATTTGATTTACCCAATTGCAATGGGGATCAGAATTCAAAATAAATAAGAACTAAAAGTTCAGATTTTCACGAAAATATATATTTTTTGCATGACAATTGTTTCTACACTTTGTCTTTATCAAATGTAATATTTACAAACTACCTGCTACTACATATACCGAAAAATGACAATAAAACCATAAATAATGTTGTACGAATTTAAGTTTAATAATGGCGAGGTATTTAAATCAAATTGGTCGTTGAAAGTTTCATTTTGTTAATCTCCAGGGCTTTCAATAAATTTAATTTTCTACTTTTTGTGGCTGTATGTAAAATATTAAAATTGTCCTCAAAAATGTGTTTTTCTGTGTTTAAGTGTGCAGTATATTTAGAATCTAGACTATTGTTTTTAAACGCTCTTTTATGTTCGTTAAGATCCACATTTCAACTTGTAGACACCTGATTTTTGAGATTTTGGACATTTCGTTTTATCGTTTTTTAAACATTTTCCTGTTGTGTCGTTAGTTCTGAAAGCGATTTTTAAACCACATTTTGACAAATGTTTTGAAACTTTTTCACTAGGTTCTCCTATGTATGTAATTGTTTTGAATTGTTCGTGTTCTGTATATACTTTCCTGTTGTCTGGATTTGTTTGTTATTTATAATTTTATCTATAATGCACGGATTGTAGCTGTTGATGAGTGCAATTTGATTAATGATATTAATTTCTTTGTTGTAATTTTCTGTTGAAAGTGGCGTATTAAGAAGTCTGTATATAAAAGAGTGAAATGCAGCTATTTTGTTTGTATAAGGGTGTTTTGAGCTGTTACGTATGACTGTGTCCGTGTGTGAAGGTTTATGATAAATGAAAAAATCTAATTTATTTTTCGTTTTCGCATCATGTTATCCTATTCAATGTCGATAGTGAATTTCATACGATTATGTAATGAGTTGATGTAATTTAAAAAATAATTCAATTGTCTGTCCGTTCCAACAAAGCAAGCAAAGACATTATCCACATGTCTATACCACCATAGATCAGAATTATTAAAAAAAAAAATTAACTAAACCTTTGTCTTGTCATGGATAAGATCTTAATTATTAACCAGTTAATTGTCAGTTTGAAAACAGTGTCGGACAATTTAGAGATACCAAATTCAAGGCGAAGTCTATCTGGGGTGTTTATGGGTAGAAAAATAAACCATAAAATTCAACTCTTCTAAATTTCGCCGAGCTATCTTTATTTTGTGCATATCATTATCATTTTTAACCAAATTTACTCTAAAAATAAAAATGACTATTTGAAAGAATATTAAGTGGTCGTATTATTTTCTGAGTTTTTAATTTTATAACATTTTATGAAATTAAAAACGTTTTGCGTATACATTTTATATTTACTTTTATTTAACTACATCACCTGTGTATGATATAGAACGATGATACCACAGGTAAAGGTTTTCATATGATTTAAAAATCAAAATAAAAACCTAAAGAAAAATATTTAATTTTATTTGTTATTTATTTAGTATTAGTTTAGTAATTTAGTTAAAAAATCTGTTAACTGATTGAAATTTAAAATTTGTTAATGTTTTTAAAACATAATCGAAAATGTAGGAATCCACCTTAAAATTCTTGGTTTTTTCTAAAAGCAACAGCTCTAAATTTGATCAATATAATTAAATTATTTTCATTATTTGGAAAGAAGTGAACATTTAAAAGTTTTGAAGGTCGTAAGAAAGCTTCACGACAAAAAGAAACAAAAGGTTTCCCTACGATCCTCGATGACATCAGTATCATTAAAAAATGATACTTGATGCGTTTTACACGTGATTTAAAATATCATGGCGTTTTGCGGCCTACCTATCAAATAAAAAATATTAATAATAAAAAAAATAATAATAATCTACGTTTTTGTTTTTTTTTGTTTGATGTTTTCCACAAACATCATGTTCTTAAGTTTTAACCTTTCGTCAAATTGCCTTATTATATTTTTTAAAGCATCCTTCCTATCCTACGTATCAAATACAAATAAAAATATAAAATACAAATTTTATCTGTCATATTTTATAAATTGAATACCCTGTATTTGATTGTATTTTTCCTTCTGAGATTGAAATATATATGTATTGTATTTTATTGTATTTTTCCTTCTGAAATTGAAATATATATGAGTTGTTATTGTTATTTTTGACAGATTTTGAAATTTGCTGCAAAAATCAAATTAGCCACGATCGCTGTTGTCATGGAAACTGGCGTAGTTAACGATCATTATATATTAAAATGGTATTTCCACAAGCCGAAAAGTTGGCTTAGTCAAAAGAAAAGGAAAGCAAATTCCTTGCAGTGTTAATGAAGAACTTGATATATTTTCAATTTAAGTAAAAATAAAATCCAGAGAATTCTAAAGGCTTCTAAAGACACAAAGACAAAATCTTACAGATGAAGAAAACCAAACAAAGCTGAAAACACAAAGCAGAATATGAGACGAAGTTGAAGCCCTAAAGGTGTATCGAAAACCTACACAAAGTGGTGACCATTTCGAATATCTTTTGCGAAATAAATTTAGAATAATAAAGACGACTTTTAGTAACACATTTTTGATATGTAATATTTTTTTTATTATAAGCAGTAGGTAAGTAATATTAGTTCAAGTGTACGCTATTTCAAAAAAATAACCCTAACAACATATGTATTTAAAATCAAAAGAAAAAATGCAAGGAAATTGGCAAGTAAAGAGTAAAAATAATAATTAACTCTGTAGCAGATCTCATTAAAATAAATAAATCCCATCGAATATTATTACTGCTTAGATACCGTCTGCTGTGTTTTACATGTCATCCACTATGAGTAAGCGTTAATTGTCAATCATTCTCGAATCAAGGTTAAAAAAAATCAAATTGGGTTTCAAAGAAAGAAATCTTACCTGATTCTGCCGTGAGGTGGCGCCACACCAAAGCAGCACAACCTGCCGCCCATATCGAGCAAACTGATAGCGTGCTCGATCGCAGGGCAGAATCCGCTACAATCGATGATGACGTCGAAAAGGTAATCCGGATCGGCTTGTTGGTTTTTCTTCAGCTGATCCGGCGTAATCAAATCGTAACCTGTGTCCAACCTCTCGGTAATCTTTAACCTGCTGGGGGTCGGCTCAGAAACCGTCACCTTTTTGTGTCCCTGCAGATGCAAGACGGATACCCAAAGGTTGCCGATAATGCCAGCGCCCATCACGAGGATCCTCGCTCCTACCGGTACTGGCACGAGCAAGTCCCATCCGTGCGATAGGCATGACATTGGCTCGGTCAGCGCCCCTGTAATTCAATTTTGTCTGTCAGAAAACTGAAACTTGTGGCGGGCGATCGGTACAATACTATTTTACTTAAGCTGTTTAAAATTCTTTAAGGTTCAAATTGCTAAAAAGAAGATCCAAACTAATATTGTACCGGGTGTCTCATTTTGGGCACTTTTGGTGGGTATCTTTTCTGCTCTTTCTTTTTTCCAAAGAAACGGCCTACTGTAATACTTTTTGCAAACCCCCAGCGCCGGCTGTTTATAAATTAAACTTGCTGATGTTTCGCCAATCATCCTGTTGGCTTCTTCAGAACCCAAAAGAAGAAAACTGTTTTCAGCTAAGCTCGGAAGAAGGAGGAATCCAGAAGATTCGTAAATAGCAATACTAATACTAAACTAATGAGGTCGTTAAACTTCGACCAGAAATATAGTGCTTTTACAACAGACGCCGTGATTAACTTTGCCTACTGTTTATTATTCCAAAACCGCAGCCCCTTACCCGTAACCATTCCAGGACCATCCTAGTTACCTATTGGGTAAAGTTATTAACAAAAAATTGTTGTTACTTGAGTTATAAAACAAGGATGGGCCAGGTATATTTCTTTCTTTGTGATATATTTCCTGAGGGTTGACCATTTGTAGCAGTGTTGAATAATCGTTTTTACTGTGCGTTTCGAAAAAGTTATTTTACGAGAATATAACAATGTCCCGTCGAAATCATTTGTCGCTTGATGCAAAAGAGATTGTGAAAAATGAAACTGATAAAACTTTAATTAGTAGGGTATTTATTCAACAAGAAGCTTTAAAAGAAACCTGTCTATTTACAAAAACGCCAATATCGTCGATAAAGGATATTATTAAGAGTGTAGAATTGAAGGGAAACACTAAACGCAGTGATTTTCAAACTCATCGTATAGACAATAGTGATCAAGACCTAATAAGAAGGAAAATATATTGTCTCTGTCAAAGCGAAGTCGTTTGACCACCCTTCGATAATCTCATTCAAAAGCAATTGGTCACTTCCTTATATCTATGAACAGACCATACCTGCGTGAGTTGCATCAATTTTATAAGCTCCTCGTTTAGACTTTATTGCTTATTATTGATATATAATGAACCAATCGAATGCAATCGCCAGGCTTTGAAGAATTTGCCATTCATACATACCCTGCTCTAACGTTAGTGAATCCGGCAATTTGGTCACAGTATGAGCGGGAATGACCGCGTAAGTCGCCCATCCGCCGTTTCTATAAATGCCGATCGTGTTTTGGATTCCTCCCACTTTGCAATAATGCGGATGACCGTTGTGGCAGTGGTCGCAACATCTGCAACCGCTGGAAAAAAAATGCGACTGAATATATCTAGCCAAAATATATACGAGGTGTGCTCTAAAACTAAGGTGACTTTTAAGTCTTATGAATAGGTATTTTTTATTCTTGACCTTTTTGAGCATATCAAGATCATTATTGACGTCATTTAACAGCTCCTTCGAAGCAGTTGCGGAATAAATTTTGCTGATACACGTTTCACGCCCAAAGCTTCGGAAAAGATTGCATGGCACTTCTCTAATAGTGTTTCGCCGATTTTTCAACACCATTTGTTTCACTTCTTCAACGCCTTCAGTTATTGATGTGCTGAAGTGGTCAGAGCGAGGTTTGTCATCGGCCATCTTGGAACAGCTTGTACCACTTATAAACATTTTTTTTTTGCTCAATTTCAAGTGTTTTGCAGTACTGTATTCCATTTTTTAAGCAAAATTTTACGCCAATTCTTTGTTCCATTTTTTTTTTTGAGAGCAGTACGAGCGTACAAAGTACGTCTAACAAACAACATAAAAAAAAACAAAATAAAGTAAACCTTCAAACTCTCTGAAACTGTGAACATATGTTAGGGACATGTGTACCAGCATAAAAAAAAAATTATCGAAGAATGTACGTAGTCTGCCCAATTACGAAAGTCATCTTACTTTCTGAACACACCTCGTATAGTCGTAAACACCTTCAAGAAATCGCTGAGGATGTAATTAATTAGTTTAGTACGTTGTTTGAGTAATCGCGATGGTACTATAATAATAATAATCGACAAATACAATGTTTGTATAGGAAATTGTCAAAAACAATAAAATAAAATAAAATGACGCATAATCCAAAACTGCAAGCGGTAATCTATAAACAAGGAAGGAAAAAGACTAACTAAAGTACTCTTCTACTGAGTACAGGCATTTAATCACAAGATATTCCTTTAACATTTTTTTTAAATGCGCATAAATTAGCACACATTTTTATTTCTTTTGATACGAATTTAAAAAATTTCACACCACTGCTGTGGGATTCTCTAAGTACTATTATATTTTGCATAAGGAACTCTAAATTCGGCTTTAGATCTTGTGTTCACTGAGTGAAAATTAATGTTCAACACAAAACCTGATTTAATTTAAAGCACATAAACACACATTACAAACACTGTTAAAGTGTTAAATCTTTTAAAATAAGTTTTTCAAGAAGTAGATTTTGAAACACCGGCCATACATCTTATAGCCCTAATTCTACTCTCAATATGAGCCTAATAAACACTTAATATTTGTGATTCTGTTATTCAGGTTATGTAATAAATAGATGTTGGCCCCCAATCCCGCTACCAAAGAAGAGCAATGAGTTTTAAAATTCATATTTTTATCTATGAATATTCCAAGAAACTTATGTACCGATCGCAAATCTTCAGTATTTATGTGCAGCTAAAGGTCTCTCTCTACATAAACTTTGCTTTGATTGCTTTGATGTTCCTCCCCTACAGAATGGATTGATTACTACAGAGAAAATGGACAATTCATTTATTGAAATACACGGTGAACAAGTTGAAATCACTATAGAAATGAGCAAATTCGCAATAAAGAGTCTAAAGAGTGGAAAAGCACCAGGTTCTGAAGCTGCTCAAAAATGGAAGGGAAATATTATATACTATTTTCAACTTGTGCATTAATGGAAATCCAGTTCCAGAAGCATGGAAAACAGCTTATATCACTCCAATTTACAAAAAAGGCAATAAGAAGCATTATAAGAATTACAGGGAACTGTCAGTGACTGGTACGATGAGTAGGTTCCGTGCTGGAAGGTCTTGTAGCGGCAACTTATTCTACCTCAAGCAAATCATTGAGAACAAACTGGCCAGAAACAGAGATACACATATAACATTTTTTGGTCTTCAAAAAGCTTCCGATGCGATACCGACAACAAAACTAAAGGACACAAACATTAATCATACACTCATTACTACACTGCAAGATTGGTATAATGGAACACCATTAATAGTCAAGTTAGGGAAATATGTCATTAAGGAATTCTCAGTAAATAAAGGCCTCAGACAGGGATGCTGTGTACCTTTAACTCTGTTTAATATCTATGTGGCTCCAGCCCCAAAGCAATGTAAAAGGAAAATACACGAAATGGGGATTGAACTTAATGAACTTAACTTATTTATACACCTTGCAGTTTGCAGACGATCAAGCAGTAACATCAAATGATAAAGATGATATGCAGTACATGATGCGTAATGCATTAGTAAAACTTGGAGACTTATAGAAAAATATAAAAAAGGGTAGAAGTTGTTGAGATGGATGCAGGGATGGACGGGACAGAGTTCGAAAGGACAGACTCAAAGAAATTGTGGGCATCGAAGGAACCGTTGTAGATGGTATTGCAAGGAAACAAATAATTTGGTATGGACACGAATGCCACATAAAATGGTTCCGGACGCTCGATCAATCACTGCGACGAAGACGGTCCGATGTCAAAAGGAAAACAGTTTAGTTTCCCGTACCGACGATGGAAACCGAATTTTCTTCAAAAATATTACCGACGATACGAAAATGTTAAGCGAGCCAATTATTCGCACCAAACGGTCGACTCGAAGGCATTCGGGAAAACATTTTGCTCTGCGTTCGAGCTCGAGACCACGGCACCCATTATAGGTAACGGGCCATTCCTTAGTCTTCCAAACGATTCATGTGAAAAACCGAATAACGGCGGTCGTGGACGTCGTGGAAAGCTAAAATTCGGAGCTTTCGCTTGGAATGTTTTTTTTTTGACTCGCGATTTTCATTGGTGTGGATCCACGGGAGGAACTTGAAGTGAACGGAACGGCGAACATTGCCGGGTCTTTATAGAAGCACTGGTAAGGAACACCGGAAAAGAGGAAGATCAGAAATCCGAAACAGGACGTAACAAAAGCGACGAGCGCAAAAAACCTGAACACACACACACACACATACACACACACACACACACACACACACACACACACACACACACACACGCACCAGAAGCGCCAAAACCCATAGCATCGTGGCGGAGCTGTTTCCCAAACACCCGCCGCGGAGGAAAAAACACTATGTTAAGTGGCGAAACGACTCCCTTTACTACCAAGGAACTGCAAGACGCGGCAAAGACCTTCAAGATAGGAGAAGCACCCGGCCCAGATGGCATTCCAGCCTTGGTGATCAAGACTGTAGCCCTGGAATACCCGGACATACTCCTGGGCTCCTACAATGCATGTCTTGCAACTGGCACGTTTTGCACGGTTTGGAAGCGGCAGAGATTGGTCCTGTTGGACAAAGGAAAGGGAACCTCAACTCCTTCTTCGTTTAGACCACTCTGCATGCTTGACATCGCTGGGAAACTGCTCCAAAAGCTCATTCAAGGCAGGCTTCGAAACGACATTGACCGTGCTGGAGGTTTTGCTACCAACCAATACGGGTTTCGGAAAGGTAGATCGACGATGATAGAGACTGCAAGAAGAACATGGTCTGGTAGTCTCAAAACTCGCAAAGTATGTTTACTTCTAACATTTGACGTTAAAAATGCCTTTAACAGAGCGAATTGGGGAGATATTCTGAACGCCCTAGAACATAAATTTGATATAAAGCCAGACAATCTGGAAACCTCGACGAAAGGACGCTAATTGTAGAAACGACGGAAGGCCCGCAGGAACACGACATAACGGCCGGCGTACCTCAGGGCTCAATCATGGGGTCCGATCTATGGAACGCAGACTATGACGAGCTGCTGAGGATCCCGCTGCCGCAACAAGTGGAACTTGCGGGCTTTGCGGATGACGTTGCGGCTACAATAGAAGTGGACAGTGTCGAGCAAAACTATTACTTCGGGAGACCACTGACACCATCGAAGCCTGGCTTGAGAAACACCACCTGACACTTGACAAGCAGAAAACAGAGATGGTTGTACTGACTCGACAAAAATGGTTCCCTAAACCATTCACCGTAAACATGGGAGGTACAACTTTGACGTCAACGAGAGCTTTACGCTACCTAGGGGTAATGATAGACGAAAAACTATCTTACCGTGAACACCTTGATAGAGCTAGCAAGACGGTATCCAGCTTATCAAGGATCATGGCCAACACGATGGGACCTCGAACTAAAAAAAGACGAGTCCTCCTCGAAGTAGTTTACTCAGTACTGCTCTACGGAGCAGAGATATGGGCGGACATGCTAAAGCAGAAAACATACAGGCGCAAAATAGCAGCAGTGCAACGGAGAGGCGCTCTTAGGGTTGCCTGTGCATACCGCACCGTCTCGGAAGCTGCAATACTGGTCATTGCGGGAGCAACGTCTATCGACCTATTAGCGTTTGAGAGAGCCAAGCTCTATGACGCTAAAAGGAAACGCGGATAAAAGCGGAAACCCAGCAAGAGTGGCAGGACCGATGGACGACGGGGGAGACGGGCAGATGGACGGAGCGTCTGATTCCGAACATCAATGTCTGGCTTTCTCGGAAACACGGGGACACAGACTTCTATCTGACCCAGCTACTGACGGGACATGGACAGTTCAACGATTATCTTTTTAAGACGGGCTTACACAACACCCTTATGTGTAAGTACTGTCCTGATAAAATTGACGACGCCGAACACACGTTCTTCGAGTGTGCTCGGTGGAAGGACTATAGAAGTAGCACCGAAGAGATCATAGGCGCCACGCTCTCCCCCTCAAGTCTGGTGACGTCTATGATCGAACAGGAAGGAAACTGGTCGGCTTTTGCAACCTACGCACAGCGCCGTCTGAAAGATAAAATTTCAGAAAGGGACCAGTAGCCAGGAGTAGGCGCCGTGGGGCGCAGCATGGACAGGATTGATGTAATGCTAACGCGGTTCCAATCCAGTCCTCCCCGTACCATCTGCGGGGAGAGGGGAAGAGGAATGTTTTTTTAGTGGGTGAAAAACTCTACACTACCGCCTATCGATATCTGCCGCAAGATAGGCGGCAGAGTTTACGATGACGGTGTCTTTTGAAGATTTTTTTTCGTACCTCTTTACAAAAACAAAACACGCACACAAAATCATAATTGACTCGAGCATTCGGCGTTGCGATCGACTTACTCGTTGGGATCCACCGACACCCTGTCTCCCTTTTTCACATTCACAACGTCTGATCCGACGTCGACAACCGTTCCGGAAAATTCGTGACCCAAAGTGACGGTTTGCGCGCTGCAAGGAAACTCTCCCTGCAATTTCTCTGTTACGCGACGATTGACGAACTTAAAGTTATCCTTACGGCGATAATGTGCAGATCCGTGCCGCATATCCCCGCGAAAGCGACCTTGATTAGCACCTGATCGGGATCCGTGATCCTCGGAACGGGAATATCGACCAGTTCCAATTTTTTGCCGCTGCCGCTGAATCTCAGTGCTTCCATATCGATGGGATATTTGGTACTGACGATTGACAGAGAATTATTATTGTAAATAGTGGTAGATAAAACCGATTGAAGGACCTTTGCGTATCGACCAGGTCAACGTAATCTCTCATCTTGTCGTTATGGAATATTGAAACAAAATGTAAGGTATATACGGTGTTAAAACTATTTATTTGGACTTCATTGCCTTTATTTTAAATTATATCTTCTCTAGGGATGCATCTCTAATCGTCATCACGATCATAATGATAAAATTCATAAAACTAACAGCTTGAAGATCGTTCTGTGTGATTGCGTGGTTAGTGGGCCTTGTCATCTGCAACTAGTGGTATTTATTTGATAAAAACTGCATTCTTGAATTTGCTTTTGTACCAGTGTTGCTCTCTACGAACTATTAGTGCTTCTAGGTCTAGGCAAAACCTAAAACCTGATTTAGGTGCGTAAACGTGAACCACGTTTGAGAGAAACTTTTTCCAGTGTCGCATATCAATAATATTAATTTTTTCACTGCCTTTTCCAAAAGTACAATTGAAGAGTCAAAAGAACAAAAGCGACACGTTTTGCAACGCGACAAAAGCAAAGCAAAGCAAAAGCGTGATTAATATTAAGCTCCCTGCAATAGAAATTTCTCATCAAAGGAGGAATGTGCCAGTTGATATTTTATAATTCTATTACATAAAAACTTAATTGATTTGAAAAATTAATGTAAAATATGAGCGAATCTAACAAAAATAAGCTTAGAAAAAACCGCAATGATCTTTCTTTTTTTTTCCACTTTTTCACGTTGCATATATACTTCACATGTAACGGTTATCGCTAATATTTTTATAGCACATCTGTGCAGGGAACTAGAAATATACAGGAGTACTATAAAAATTCAGTTAAACGCGAAATCAAAGTCTCAAAAATATGAGACCTTGACTTTGGGTTCCGACGACATTTTCGGTACTCGATAGAGAAGTCGCTTAATTATGGTGAACGTCAATTGTTGTTTTTGTTTCAATTGTAAATAGTGCTAAATAAAACTGATTTAGTGACCTTCGCGTATCAACTCGACCAACGTAATCGACAATCGTGTATGTATTGAAGCAAATTAAAACTATTTGTTTGAACTTCAACTGCCTTTATTTTAAATTATATCTTCAGCTTTAACATATCTTCAGTCGTTATCAAAATGTGAGCTAGTGGTATCCAGAGGTGCTGAAGGACTTTTGGCTTCTCTGGATTAAAACTGCTTCCTTGAATTTCCCCTTGTAAAAGTGTTGCTCTCTATAAACTATTGTTGCGTCTAACCAAAGTATTCGGTACTTCAACACAGCCAAGGGAAAACGCAAGACCTGGGTTAGGTACGTTGACGATACCTTCATCTGGAACCACACTGAAGATTATACAGCACAACACAAGGTTATCAGAATGAACTTAAGTACATAAAGGATACAGGAAATACCTCTTTCAAAAGGTCCGCGCAACCGTGTAGAACAGAAGCAAATGCTCAGCATCCCATATGTCAGAGGGTTATCCATATATTAGACAATGTCTAAGTCCTCTTAACAAAAATAATCTGCTGGATAAACCCGTAACAAGTCATATGGGGGTGATATTGAACTGATCTAAGAAGGGAATTTGAGGTTTTTGTTATATAAAACCGGTTAGCAGAAAACCAATCCTGCACAGCATGATTATTTAAATTAACAACAGCGTGTCAACAAATATTGTTAATTATATAAATTTGTTCCATTATTAGTATTAAATCCATATAGGGAAAAAAACTATGCGTACTTTCCGAAGCACACAAGTAAAGAGGATAAAATAGAGGGGAAGGCTCCCATTAGTGGCAATGTTAAAAACCGTCCACGAGTTTCAACGCCTCTAGTGAGTCAGTCATAAAAACGGAAAACGCGCGAGACGAAAGGTTCAATTCAATTTAAAGTTTGAAAGGTATAATGTGAAAAAAAAATATGTCGAAATAGTTTTCAATTTTTTTTTATTGAAATATAAATAAAGTGCTGTTATCCATTACAAGCTATTGTGCATTTTCAGTGTAACGCACTACTTTAAACCGCCATGACAGTAGCCTAGTACTTGGACACAAATAATAGATGGCACTCGTAACAGTATAAGCGACCTTCCTATCTTATACTCTTTGCACACAAGCTTGATTATGATTCACGCGTTAGAACCTAGATGGCGCGCAAGGTAATGCTCTAAAAAATAATAAACTGTCTCTGAAACAGTAGTTCTAAATTTATTAACGCACGTTAAAGATTCTAAGGCTGCCGATTAGTTTTGTTAATACGTGAGTGAATGCCCAGAAAGTAAATTCTATTTTCGTTTTGTTTATGTGTACTGATATTAGCAAATTAGCATATTTGGATCCGATCCACACCTCAACAGTAATTTAGTTTTTGCCATATTCTTATTTGGTAGTTTTGTTGTTATTAAATAGACTGTCAATGTTTATTTGTTAGTAGTGTTAAATTTTATATTTATAATGGACTTTTAAGATAGAAGATGCCAAACTAGTTCTCAATCTATTTCCATGAAACTGTTTTTTTTTGGCGTATAGTTTTCAGTTAATATATTGCAGAATCACGGGGAATGCTTAAGATTTGGCTATATAATGTGTTGTTCAGTTTTATTAGTTTTTACTAAACTTATGATGGCAATTACAACAATCTTGAATTAAAAATGTTACTTGTTGGAGAGGTTTCTAAAACGCTTTATAATTTATTGATTATGGTGAAATCTATTTACCTTCTTTAATTTATTTAAGAGTTTATTCTAGTTTTTTTACTTTGAGTTTTTATTGTAACTAGGGGATACGTGCATCTATAACGTTGGCAAATAACGTTGATTATATAAACTTGTAAGGTAAAAATAGTTGTGAGAAAAAAACTTCAGTTGTAATTAGAACTATTTATTTTTTTAAATCGAAACAACATTAGATATAACCGCTCCATGTTATATTGTCCTTTACATTTTGAATACAGCTTTCGCGATTTTTCCAGACTTTAGTTTGTCCAATGCGGCTTGGTAATCGTCCAGAGAGAACACTTCGATGCCGAGACGTTCGTAGTCTAAATATCGCGATCCCAAGGATTCCAGGTAATCGAAAGCTTTCAAAAAACTAAACGGATTCACGTTGACGCCTACTAGTTTGGCTTCCTTCCTATACAACTCGAAAGGCGATATTCTAAAACGAAATTTTAGTTTTGATGCACCATTTCAGTGTGAAAAAAGGAATTCGGTAAGAAAAAAACGAGCAAGAATTGATATATCGCAAATGAGTTGCAACCCTCTTGGCTTCCTTTGGAGTTTTTTATTAAAGAAACATTTTTTTTTAATTTTCCTTAATAACCTTTTTCCTAGTTTGCGAGGGAGTAATAAAATGTAATATTACAAGAATAGTTTCCGTATTTCAGTTTTTAAGACTTACACACTTCGAATTGTTGGTAAATTAGGGTCACTCTAATTATCATTTAATCGAAAGATGAGTTCCGTGAATATGAGAATAATTAATATAATAAAAACTATACATTATGATGATAATTATAGGGATGGACGATAATTGAGACAATAGTTATTCTCAGATCAAGTAAATAAAAATTTATACAAAAGTAAGAAAAAAATGAAAATAGATAAATTGCAAGAAACATTACCATTTTAAAAAACTATTGACAATACGATTTTATTTGTAAATTTTAGTCATCATATTTCTAGTAGTCATCGGGACTCCAGTGCTGAGAAATACTAAGGGGTTATACTGTGTTTTATAGTATGTTATCAGCTTCCCACAGTATCCAGTAGTTCCTTTTTCAGCATATGTCTTTGAAATTGCTTCTTATTTAAACTATGAAAGATCCAGGATGAATAAGATCTAGCATCAGCAGTTTATTCCAAGTTTGTGCTATATAGCATACTCATTTAGTACAGTTTGTTTTCTTCCTGTACTTCTTCATGATGACCTGATGGGGCCATGTTTGTTCTCCGCTGTGGACTATCCAATTCCAGTGATATTCGAACATATTTTAACTATTTTTGAATATTAAAAGGTGATTTTTAAGGGTTCCAAAAGGGGAACAACGCCTAGGGGAATACGATAAGAACACTAAGTTCTAGAATCCAATAATGATCTCGTAGCCAAGAAAAATAGCTCAGTTTTTTTTTGTCTTAAGGTTTTGCAAACTTTCAAAACTTATAATTAGAGACTATTGACAATGCTTTAAAACAAATCGTCTAGTTAAAGTCTATTTCGTTCGTTTCATCAAATTATGCCGTTGCTTTAAGTTAATAATTATTATCAAAGCATGTTCTGAAAATTCAGCAATACATTTTGACAGTGTTTCAAGCGACTTGATTATTCGTCATACTTTTTGATAAAAAGGTCCTAAGAACTCCGCTTCTTTCCAATGGTCTCACAATTATCAGTTGAGTTGAGTTGTTCAACAGTCCGAGAAGAAAAGAAGCATTGGATTGAAAAGAAAGTTATATTGCACGAATATTCACGGTAACAGGGCTTGAACCTTTCGGCAATGGTAAAGATAAATATCATGGGCGGCTAAGGCCTTTGGAACTGAAGGTTTTCTATTAAATTTGATCTAAAAATCAGTCCCTAAATTTTTCGCATTTTAACCTAGTATATTTTAAGCATCTCTAGATGATAGGGACAAATCGCACATTCCGACAACGTCGCATACAACCAACACCACAGCATCACAGCTGAGAATAACATTAAACGACTCAACGGTAGATGTAATTTTATAATTTTTACTTCTCCGCTTACGTATAAGCAAAATGACATTCCTTCATGAGGAAACTTACGAAATTCTACCGTCCCTTGGTGCCACGCCGAAACAGCTTAATTTTCCTCCCAAATCCAGTAAATTGAAGGCTTGTTCGATAGCCTTACAGTTCCCACTGCAATCGATAATGACGTCGAAAAGGTAAGCTGGATTTTCTTGACTCCTCTTGGTCAGTTCGTTTGGGGTTAACAAAGTGTAGCCGGTATCTAAAAACAATGTATACTATAATATATAATATGATAAATATAATATGCAGATTTATACTTAGTTTCGAAAGTAAGTCCAATCTACTTTGCCACGGCTCTGACACGGTAACGTTCTTGTATCCTTGGCGATGTAAAAGGGCAACGCAAAGATTGCCTATGATGCCCGCACCTATGATGAGGATTTTCGACCCTATGGGTACGGGTAGGAGGAGGTCCCAACCGTGGGATATGCAAGAAAGTGGTTCAGCTAGAACCCCTTAAAAATACAACGTACTATATAAGATTTGAATTTTATTTGACCATTAGTTGCATTAACCACTATTTTGGTGTTTATAGGCTATTTTAGAAAGCTATGGAGTAATAAAATGTGGTCTGTGACTAGCTAACGAACTCACCAGTCACATAATCTAGAAAAACGTACGGTAAAATGTAGTACCGTTTAATAACGCTTGGTTTGTCGTTTTGCTGTACAAGAAACTATAGAACGATGTTCCCAAAGCACTGGAGTTGGAAATTTCACCGTTATTATTTTAAATTAGTGTATTAGATTATCACTAGGACATGAATTCGCATGGCGCTGATGATTTATTCAAATTCAGGAATTTAACGCCCTCTGTATGTGAGAAGCTTAACTACGTAGGTGAAGCCCCGAGATCGTGTCGATTCATGGCGCACAAGTCGGGTAGGCAGATATTTTTGATTTAAAAACAAATTTTGGTTTCTTACAGTTTTTAGATATCGGCAGTAACGTTCAAAGGTTAAGATGTGCTAAAATAATGTAATATGAAATTGTACATGCAAAAACTTCATCTTGAAGAGATAAAAAAATTGTGCACTAGGTTAACCACAGAAAATATTGAATTTGAACATAATTTGATAAAGAAGGAACTATTATGAAATGTACCGCCAGCACAAAAAGAATGTTAGGGAATGGATAATAATAGGACTCATAAATTGAACCAAACCCTGTGTTTCTACCAGCACAACCAACAATTTTCCAATGAAATCAGTGTCAAAAAATGAAAGTGGCTTAAGTATTTGGGGCCACTCTTTAGTCCCTCTGCGCACTTAATGAGATTTTAATATTATTATTAAAAATTAATGGTCTTTATGGGTAACAAAATTAATAGTTGCAAAATGAAATAGAGAAATACAGAAATAAAAGGAAAAATAATACTACCCTCTCCATCAATATGTAGCAGTTCTATTCCATTGCGGTTAACAAAACATGATGAAAAATTGATAATTTAATGTTAATGTCATTAAGTTTCCTTGTGCGGATTTTTATTTACACTGGAAATTCTAATTAGTTTGTTGGATAAATATGTGGGTGTATATGAAGTGATAATTTTGACAGTTAACACAAGAAAACCATGCTTTCGAGGACTCTACATGTTCGTCATGAGATATGATACATGAGCAAAATTGAATCAATCAGAACAAAGTTTATGTCACATTGAGCTTTTGCATTCCCAAGTTTTTATATCAAAGTTGTCTACTGTGCTCAGATTTTGGTTGATTAATTGAATAATCTTTTCTAGGCCAGCATTTAGCTGAGTTATTTGTTGTTTTTGGTAATCTAAAATCGCTAGTGCTATGACTTTGCCGTGACATCGCTATGGACTTTCTGAACCCTGTCTGATGGTGGGGTAGTTAATCGTTACCCAGGATATGTTGGTTTTGCAGTATATACTTTTTTTTGAAAACTTTAGGACGATGATGCTAATTGAACTTTGGTCTGAAAGGCTTTTGGGTAGTTGGGTAACGAAATTACAAAACTGTGGTACTCTACACCATTCTGAAATAGACAATAGATCTTTTAAATATTTTATTATTAATTATTAACGAGATAATGATACAATTTTTACGATATCACTATGAAAAATACAAAACAGAATATATTATTAAATAATTTGAAGTAACTGAATTAGAAAATTGAAATTCTAATATATTACTAATAAAACATATGGTGTGGCTTCTACGAAATTAAATTTAACTTTTTAACGACAAAACACACACAAACAGAATACGGTGTTTGAAGTTCAACTATTTTCTCAATTGCAATAATTAAACAAACTCATTGGGGTTTTTCCGTTGAGTTGGCATACTTGAGATAAGCATCGATCTGCAAACTTCTTATATCGATTTCGAATGGAAAATTATAAAATATAAAAACGAAAGGTTATTATTATTTTTTTTATAGGTGCAAGAAACGAAACAAGCCAGCAGACTTTCCATGAGTTAACTTTCGAAAGGTATAGAGTAATAAAATCTGATTAAGTTAACGAATACTTGGCTTGGAATACTAATCTTATATAATACGACCAAAAATATAGTGCATTTATTGCTTTGACGTTGTAAGTATTTTACCGTAGAGCGCGACTGTTTTGAATTTGATTAAGCATTGATGCTGCGGGGTATTTTCGAATGAGTAGAAGCGTTTATTTTAACATCAGGTGATATGTATCGTTCTTAAGAGCTATTACGGAGGTATTTGACTGTGGTTCTTCCAGTAAGTGCGTATTTATGTACCTGATTCTCGAGCTTTGAGCCTGCGAGACTGTTTTCAATGCATAGCTTAAAGGGTACGTTCCTGTACTCTACTTATCTTACAAGTGAGTTTGAAAGTAATCATTTTTGTCTTGTCTGCCTCTCGATTAACAACCTTCTTCTTCTTGTATTTTTGTGCCTTCTACATAGTTCTTCGATTTTTAAACAACAGTATTTTTTAAGACTTTAGATTATATATGTTATATATAGAAAAAGGTACATTATAAGATGATTTATTTTTGAAGAGAGCTACACGAAAACACAATTTCTGGAATTATTAAAAATAAAACATTTTATCATTGCACATTTAACCCGATAAGATGATTTGGTCTGAGTTGAAAGCGCATATAAGAAGAAATAAAAGATGAAAATGTTTATCGAGAACGGTTAGTGGCGAAGTTTGAATTAGGTGACGACAGCAGCGACAGTGAAGATTTTTTTTATTTTTATTATGTTTAATTTTTTGTATATTAATAATGATACTATGTAGAAATCTGATGAAATAGAACGTAATAAATGGAAAGATTGAAAACGTACTTATATACCGCTTTCTTTAAGGATCTACCCGTTTGTCCAATATAAATTTTAGGACATGATACCTAGATACCTGCTTTTGGATACTTCGTTTTATTGTTTTTTTTTATTTTCCTTTTTCCTTTCCTATCTTAAAAATATGAACTTTTAGTTCTTTTTTATTTTGAATAATGATGCTATGTAGAAATGTAATGAATTAGAACGTAATAAAGTGTTACTTTGTACTAATTTTTTTATGTACATGTTTCAAGAATTGCTCGGCAAAAAAGATTGAAAACATACTTATATCCCGCTAGCACGGTCCTGGAATGGTTACGAGTAAGGGTCTGCTCGGCAGGGTGTTCTATAAGGTGATGCGGTTTTGAAGTAATAAACAGTCGGCAAAGTTAATCACGGGGTCGGTTGTAAAAGCACTATATTTTTGGGTGAAGTATAATACTGGGAACACTGCGACTCAGTTTAAATATTAATGCATTGAAAAAAACAGATATCCTTATAAAGGTACTACCGTAAGCATGTTTTAATTACTCTGACATTCTTTTCCTGACATAAAAAAATAGGAAGAATAGGAAGATGGTAAGTAAATGGTCAAAAATGACAACAAAGCCTGTTAAAATAACGATCAAAAATAATTTTATTGCACAAAGTTTACCTACGCCTATGGCCGACGGAATATCCCATTTTATTACTCTGCGCTTTTCTGAAATAGCACCTACCTTGCTCCAGGCTGACCCCTTTGGGCAATACAAAGACGCTATTGTTTGGAACTAGCGCGTAATGGGCCATACCTCCATTCCTCTGGATACCAATGGTATTTTTTAGTTCGCCAGGACACGGCCTGCAGTAATGGGGATTTCCGGCGTGGCAGTGCTTGCAATTATTGCATCCCCTAAAAAACGGAGTGTTTAAGTCAACGCTTAACACTAAGGTTTTAAACTAAACTGAAAATGAAGTTGCCTAATTTGTACTATAACTTCGCAATTTCATTCAACCATTGGCCCAAAGGGTCATTTCTGGCCAAAGCGTTAGTAAAATTGGACTTGCATTTCTCTTCTGGAGATTGTTGATGGAGATGGCGAATGCTACAAAGTAAGGTTTTTTGAATCGCTAGGTCATCATCTCTGAAGGTCTTTGTCATTTTATAAAAACTAACGTTTTGTATTCTGAAATTTGATCTAAAAAATGGCCGGTACCGTTTACGGTGCGTCACTTAAATAAATTGGTCAAAACCAGCAACGTGCAAAAAGGGGAATGGCGAAATTTAGAAAAAGAAACGATTTGTTAAACACTGCAGTGGTAGCAAGTATTAGTGCTTTCTAATTGCTGCAGTGTTGCTGGAAAAATAGCATTTCTGCTATACTACAAAAAAGCCGAAGAATTACTAGCTTTTGGGAAGTTTAGTCTACAATGTTCTTCAAATACCACCAAATAGACGAGAGGCATCTATTTACTGAATTACAGCAGTTATAAAAATGGTGGTATCAGTATATACCTAACAGAGATAAGAAAATACTGTTCTGAGAATCGTTCAATCTTGATGAGACATGGTTTCGCACTCCATCCAAGGATGGTGTCAATTTTTCCGGGTCGGGTAGAACAACAGCTCCTTCTAATAAAGGAAAAAGGGTTACTATTGCATATGAAAAAATACCACTGGTTTGTGATTATGTATGTGTTTGATGACTGTGACTTATGCATCGACTACCATGAAGTTACAAAGGCAAAACTTGAAACAAATGAATTAAGGATTGTCTCCTGCCTACCATTTTTCAGAATGACGTTATAGTAACGGACAAGGTCAAATATTACAAAGTTAAAAATTGAAAACTATGTGGCAGCGAAAAGTGAGTTTTTTGAAATTTTAGAAGCATTCAGTATCAAAAAGTATATGTTCGTGACTCGTTAGTTTTGATTAGTTGTGATATTATTCAGTTTTATAGAGCGCTTGTGACATAAACTAAAATTAAGTGTTAGGTCACAAAATTTCCCACATCATTGCAGATATAATTTCATAAATGTGTGTGCAGGCGATATAAAACGCATATAGAATAGTTAAAATCCATACATTTCAATATATAAGTGTATAAAGAAACAAATTTATGCAAAAATAATATTCTCAAACTTGTTTACACTAGTATTATTTTTTCTCTCCGCATTCCGACCCTGCACTACATTTTTAAGTTGCCAAAGCTTTCTTTTTTTATCACCTAAAACGGGACGTTGTTTTAAATTAGAATTATAGTTGTTTGTATTGTATACAGTAGATTTTTTTTATAAGAATATTTATTAATCTTTACTTACTTCATCTTGTAATAATTAATATTAACGATTCGAGATGTGTGATGTGTGATAACCTTTAAATTGTCCACTCTGTTTAATAATCCCTGTCATTGCAAATATGTATTTTATTAAATAAATAACTTTATTTGAATCAGTTACGCTTTTAACATAACCGGCAAGAAACAAACGAAAACAAAAAAAAAGCTACTACGAAGTTTCATGGAAGAGCCGTCAAGAATAAACTCAAGGAATAAATTTGAAGCTACTTTGTCTAGCCCAAAGAGATTTAACTTTATTACAAGTTATCGTAGAGTTTGCTGTACTTTAGTAGAATAAGTTTCTTCTTCAAATTATCGCATTAAGAAAAAAGGCACAGCTGAAAATCCAACATAGTCAAAGAAACCGCGAAGTTATAGCTTCATCTGCCGTTACGTTCATTTTTCTTACTCGTTGGGATTGACTGTGACGTTATCGCCGACTGTGACGTTCGTGACTCCCGGTCCGACTTTGACCACAGTTCCGGAGAACTCGTGGCCCAGCGTCTTCGTGTCCTGACTGCACGGCATTTCACCCTATGATGATAAAAATTCAGGGAAATATAATCGCTTTTAAGCTAGAAAACTGAGCAAATTGGTTAATGACATTCGTATTTGTCATCGGCGTTTGATAACGGGTGACGCGCGATGTTAACTTAGGTGTTTTAGTTTTATTTTAGTGGAGGATTATTTGTTTTAGATTAGCGATGTCAACACGTGAAATTGTATCACAAATCCTTTTTATAAAATCACTGTTTCGATATCTACCAGCAGTTTACAATGTATTAGAAAATCAAATACGTTTATTTACATCGACAATTATACAGTGAAAACTGTATTACGAACAAAATTTGTTGTACTATTAGGTCTCCACACACAACTATTAATTATTATTGTTATTAATTATTAATCCACTTTGTATAACGAATTTCTCACTCTCTATACCGAAAGAAAAAAGGGCACATCAGGTAACAAAGTAAGGAATATAGGGTGACTTGTAATTATTAGACTCTTACCTTCTCGGAATTCCTTACCCTAATAATTTAATTATCTTGTCGTCCAAAGTGTTTTTCTCGTAATAAGCCTTGTTAAGGCCTTTATCGGTATGCTTAAAAGCACACCATTGTTTCAATCACTTCTATTTTGACTTAAATGATAAAGTTGCTTTAATTCGGGAGAAAAGAGAAAAGAAAAGTGATGTGGGACATCGATACGGGCTTAACCGTCGACTGTATCCACGATATGGAAGTGCAATGAAAAAATCATTCTCACTGAAGCGGCAGGCAGTTCTAGTAAAAAACTAAGAAAGCCAAAATTTGAAGATTTGGATCGGGCAGTGGTTCCAACAGCAACGTCTTAAAAATGTACCATTCTCCGGACCTATCGTAAAACTAAAAGCAAAAAAGTTTGCTGAACAGCTTGGCATTATCGATTTTAAGGCTTCGGAAGGATGGTTTTAGAAGTTCAAACCGAGACATGGTATAAATTATAGACAGATAAGTGGCGAAGCCTGTGATGTCGATAGAAACGTCACTAACGATTGGCTGGAGAAGACGTAGCCAAAACTAGCAGAAAAATACCCTGCTGACGATATTTTTAATGCTGACGAAACTGGCATTTTTTACAAAATGTCGCCAGATAAAATACTTAAATTTCGAAGCGAGATGTGTGTGGGCGGAAAACTTTCTAATGAACGTATAACAGTGTTACCAGCTGCAAATTCTTGAATAGGAGATACGGAAATGGGATGCAGAATTAAAGGGGAGGAAAATATTACTTCTTTTAGATAACTACCCTGCACATACCCATATTCCAAATCTACCGAATATTAAATTGGCATTTCTTCCAGCCAAAAGAAGTGTATTACGGCCGATGGATCAGCGCAAGAAAAACATTTTTATGAAAATAATTGAGTCCGAAGACAAATTTTCTATTAATATGATAGATGCAGTCAACTTTATTATTAAAGCTTGGAAAGATGTGACAGCAGCAACAATTCAACACTCCTATCGTCATGCAGGACTTATTACTGAGTAAGCGTCATTTTAGATGGGTTTAGGTAAAGAGCGTGATTAAAGAACCAATTATTAATGTCAGTATATTACGGATTTCGTCCAGTAGTTCAAAATCAGGTATATTATTGAAATAGCAAAATTAAAAATAATAATAAAAAGAAACAATAAAAGGAAGTGTCCAAAATCTCAAAAATCAATTGTCTACAGGTTGAAACGCGGATTATGTCCTAATATGTTGCAGATCCTTCAAGAAACGCATTAACGAGCATAAAAGAGCGTTTAAAACAATAGTCTAGATTCTAATTATGCGTACACAGAAAAACACATTTTTGACGACAATTTTGATATTTTACAGCCACAAAAAGTAGAAAATTGAATTTATCGGAAGCCATGGCGATTAACAAAATGAGACATTCAAATCTATTGCTTAACGATCAATTAGATTTAAATACCTCTCCATTATTAAACTTAAATTCTCACAACATTAATTAAGGTTTTATTGTCATTTTTCGCTACATATAGTTGCAGGTAATTTGTAAATATTACATTTGATAAATACACGGTGTTGTCGAAACAATTGTCATGTAAAAATATATAATTTCGTGAAAATCTGAACTTTTAGTTCTTATTTATTTTGTTAAATGGATTTTCATCAAGTAAAAGCCATCTCAGTTGAAGTATCATTATTAATATACAAAATATTAAATATAATAATAATAAAGTAACAGTCACTTAAAAAATCGTCACTATCGCTACTGACGTCACCTAGTTCATTGATCCAACTCCGCCACTAATGCTTCTCAATAAATATTTTCTTTTATTACTCGTTTTTCACAGTTGGGCCAGCTTTGTACAGTCATTTTAGGTACCTCTTGTTTCTTTCGAAAATCAATGAAATCGAATTTTTCGAAAGTATCTGCGCTCGTATAAAAATTTTATATATCGGTAACGGTAAGTCCTACGGGATCGCCGTTGGTACAGAAATGATCACCGTCGAAAAAAAATTTCTTTTTGTGTTATTGTCCGTTTTTCTTCGTTCTCCGTTCTCGTCTTTTGGTTTTTCCTGAATAACTTTCGAATCGTTGGAGCTAAATTGAAACTTGCCTCCTGTTTAACCCTCCACGAGGCACATAAGCTTATACGAAATGGCCCTGATCCGACTCCGGTATCCATCTTTTTTTCGCGATTTCCGTGTCCGAAATTTGAAGCAATCGACTTCATATTTGGTACATATATACAGCTTTGCCCTGTGACAGAACCTACTGAAAATGGGGGTGGGCTGGGGGTCGAGAAGTATTCTAAAAAAATAAAAAATCGCGCGTGCAAGGGTCTACAAAAAAACATCATTTTTCAAAAACTCTTTAGATGAAGAAGAAGAAGCAGCAGCAGATACGGCTTTATAAACTTTTATTCTTGACAATTTTTCAAAGATATACGGGGTGCGCCGCAAATGCGAAAAAACTGAAAAATGGTTATAACTGAAATACTATGATTCAGATCTCACTTTCTTTTATATTGCGATATAGCCCGCATAAACAGCAAAAAGTTTTGTATTTAAGGTTTTCACCTATTGTATAGGATATTCTCGATATTCCTTGCTTAATGAGATATGTTAAGTGTCCTAAATTTGCAGATATCAACCTCAAATTTAGCAGAGAAGTAAAAGTCCGTGTCCACATTTAAACGGCATAATTTGGACGCAATCAAATTTTACCAAGTATTTTTTTAAAATGTTTGAAATTGAATCTTTAAAGTTTTTGGCAGACAAAAATAAAGGCATCTTCCACCCAACCATTTTTGGACCCAGCATGAAGAATTATTATGCGTTTTCCATGAGAAGGCGGCACGTCTAGTACACACTTGTTACTGTTATCACACCATACTTTTTTTACTGTGTCGTTTCGGCTTAATACATTATTGGCCTATTTTGCTCTCGAAATTTTTCAATGGTATTTAAATAATCCACCCTCTATTGCGAAATTCTTTAAGATTCCGTTTATTAATTGCTGAGGTAGTTCTTCTTCTAAATCCCCATTAGACTCCACTTTGTGTTAAACAACAGGAACCTTCAAAAAATGTTTAATTGTAAGATTGTAATAAATATTTATCTGTATTCTTATGAGTCTTAAAAAAGAATGTTGTTGTTTACAAATGAAAAACTATGTAGAAGACAAAAAACTACAAGGAGAACCTCTAAGATAAATAGAGTACATGTACGTACCCTTACCCTTTGAACTATCCAGTGAAAACAACCTCGCAGGGTGAAAGTTCGAGAATCAGGTACATAAATACGTACTTACTGGAAGGATCACAGTCAAATACCTCCGTAATATATACGATCATATTGCAATTTAGATTAAACTCTTAAGAACGATGCATATCACCTGATGTTAAAATAAACGCTTCTACTTATTCGAAAATATCCCGCAGTATCAATGCTAAATCAAATTTAAAACTGTCAAAAAGTTACGCAGAACACTATGTGGGGTACAATTGTAGCCCACTCTAATTTGAACGCTTTGTGATATTTTATGCGACAAATAAATAGTTAATGTAAATAAAATATGTAATATGCATGTTATATTTATTGAAAAAGTTGAACAAAATAAACAATTCTCAAAAATGTTTAAAAAAAAGTTACTACTCATGTTAATTCTTACGTTTTTCCATACATAAACTGCAAATTCATCTGTTTTATTCTATGGTCAGTGCATGTAAATTTTTTTGCAGTCGCAACATTGTTGCCTAGACTTGCGATCTTTATGTCTATTGCACAAATACCACCATCCAGAAAGGGGTCGTTTAGGTTCTTCGGAATGGATTTCGTGGTGTTTTTCCAATTCTGGAAACATTTCTAGCACATGACACTGTTGGGAATTCTTCAATCTTCTTGTCAATCAATGACTCTCCTAAGTCCAAAAGAAATTTTCTTCTGCTGTCTTTGCTTTTTGATTTTTCGCCTGGAAATTTTGCACTCCATAAAATAAATCCACCCAGTGCCGCGACGTCTAATAGCTGTACAAAAATTGCCATCGGCCATCTATTACTAAGTCGACGAGCTGAATATTCTTTTACCATTTTATCGGTAGTGTCTACAGCACCTTTTGTTTTATTATAATGAAGTATTATGTCAGGCTTATGTTTCATATTTTCTCCCGCAACAGAATCATCATGATGCTCCGTAGACAACATAAGGACAGCCTTATTCTTGCTAGGCAGATTGGACACAATTGTATGTTGTTTTCGAAAACCAAACATTGACGAAAAAATGGGTTTATAAAGTTTCGGCAAGAGTTCTTCGGGAATATAAGATTTATTTTTCCGTAACGTGCCGCAAAGGTTCATTTGTTTCTCTAATAGTATCTACTAGGGACAAACTTTTAAAGAAATTATCTGTGATTATGCCATATTCGGGTCCGTCTTTCGCTTTGATTCTTTTCTGCTGTATTACTAATCAAAATGAGTATCTTGGCATACCATACGGGGTACAAGTGTATCCCACATTAAAAATTTTTTTTGTTGACTTTTTTGATACACATAATAACTAAAATATACAGAAAATGAATCTGTAAATACTAAATGACAATAAATAAAAGTGCGGAACCCTTGCGTAAAATTTTTAAAGAGATATAAGAAAAATTGAGTTGTTGGGGTACATTTGTACCCCACACGGTACGACGAAGGTTAAAATAAACACTTCTACTTATTCGCAGCGTTAATGCTTAACCAAACTTAAAACGGTCCATTTACGTTTCAAATAAAGGTTTCGAGTTTCTGCAAATATTCGCTACGGTCCATCTCAGGCAAGACCTACTTAATGTACTGCAAAACATTTAAAACAATATATGCACTATATTTTTGGTCGTGCTATAACTTCGCTTACCTCGATGATGTGGACGTCGCTCCCGCATATCCCGCAGTACGCGATTTTTATCAACACCTGATCCCTTTCCGTCACTTCCGGAATCGAAACCCGGCATAGTTCGAGCTTGCCCGTGTCCCGAGTATACCTCAGCGCTTGCATGTTTTCGAGTTCTTCGAAAAATCTCACTCACACCGGTCTATCGAAAAATTCAACTCCTTAGATAAAAGCAAAAATGCCGAATTATATATACGGAACGGCGGATAGGCAAAAATCCATTATCTTTTTAAGTTGAATTCAAACAAAAACGCGCGCTCACTCATGGAGCAAAAATATACCGTTCGCCTTTTCGTATTTTCGAATAGATCAGTATCTGCATTCGGAAATTGTCATTGATAATAGTGGGGACGTTTGCCTTTGTCTTGCTCGCTTATAGTCTCGACCGGGGTCAATTCACTAGTCCAATTTGATCAAAATGTTTCCAATAAAATATTGCAAATGTTTATCATATTTAATTTTTTAAAGAAACTTCCACAGGTTACTGTAATATTTTTTACAAAACTTCTGGATTCCTGCTGCGTCGGTTTTTGCTGAGTCGAAATTGCTGACGTTTCGCCAATCATCCTGTTGGCTTCTTCAGAGCTTGACTGAAACTGTCCAGTCCAGCTCTGAAGAAGCCAACAGAATGATTGGCGAAACGTCAGCAATTTCCACTCAGCAAAAACCGACGCAGGAAGAATTCAGAAGTTGTAAAAAGTTTATCATATTTAATAATAATATGTATTTTATAATAATTATAAACTTCGCATCAAAATTTCACAACGTTGCGAGGCACATTTTTATTTACATTTCAGTTTTAGTCATGTACGAGGTGTGTTCAAAAAGTATGGTGACTTTATAATATTATCAAAAAGTGTTTATTCATTTATCAAAATTACTATTGTGCGCTTCGAAGTAATCCCCCCCCCCCCCCCCAGATAAGTGTCAATCTGGGGGGGATTACTTCGAAGCGCACAATAGTAATTTTGATAAATAAATAAACACTTTTTGATAAAATTATAAAGTCAACGGTTTTTCTAAACCTCGGGGCACTTTCAGGTATAGCCTTGAGTTCTTCTAGTGAATTCTTCTCTATCTCCTCGACCGCAGGGAACCATATCCGGTGAGTATGTAGTTTAATTTTTGGCCAAAAGGTTAGACCCAAGCAACTTTTTCTTCATATTGCTTCTCGCAAACGGCGCCTAAATCTTTATTGACCGTACGACCTTGTGATAGGAACTCTTGATGTACTACACAGTAAGTAAAACCTTGACATTTTGTCGGACTTGTGATTTTTTCGGTTTTGGCGATTCTGGGTTCTTCCATAACCATATACCCAAAATTCGTCACCAGTTACGTCCTCTTTGAGCGATGCTCCTTCCATGGTCCTTTTGTTCAAAATTAAGCAATTTCGGAACAATGCCGTTGTCGACAGTTTAAGAGTTTTGCAGCATGGAACACTTTTTACATAAAATAAATATATTTGATGTTTATTAAAAACATTACTGGTAACTTCTAATAAGGTGTATAAAGGTAGAGGTTACCTTTATCATAAAAATAAAAAATGTTATTATTATAGGCTTTTACTTGAACCAGGCACTGTGGATTGTACGCCAAATACAAGGAAATATGAATGGAAAAAAAATATTATACTATGTTTTGGGAGTAATTATTAAAACGCTTGTGCTTAAAAATTTTGTTTCATTTCAACCATATGAACAGTTTTACATCATAAAAGAGAACAATCAGTACAAATATTTTCTGCTACACCAATGCAACAACAAAAGATTTGGTGAGGCCATTAGGGACATTTCTGGGCCGCTCTGGGGCCGTGAGTCCAGAAGCCAGGTACACGATGCTGCAGATTTAAAGTATTTTTGTATCACCATAAGTACATTTTATTTGTAAAGTAGGCTAGGGGTAGGGGCCTATAAATGTGTGTTACTCCCTCCAAGCCTCACTCTCAACTGGCTAGTTAGCTTATAATCAGTTTTATTTCCATCATCAGGTGTAAACCCTACCTACGTTGTCATTCATCAAATTTGGATAAATTTGATTTGATAGACATTAGCTTTTACCTTAGCTGTGGCTGTAATAAATAGGAGCGATAATGACAACAAAATAATTAAAAGATACTCACGGGTTAAAAAAAATATTCTTTTGAATGCGGGTTGCAACACCCTTCAATAAAATTAACCTATATTTTTTTGGAAACAATAATTCATCGAATGCATATTTGATGAAGGGTAGGTCCAACAAATTGGTTAATATCCTTTCATACAGGGCCTTGCGACAAAAATGGCTCATGCCAAGCTTTTGTGCCAAACTGTATAACCAAACTAATATCTAGGTCACTCGCTTGCTCCCAGAACTCTAGTCAAGTCTTTCAGTTCTACAGGTACATTCGATTGCCTCCACGTCTGTATACTGAGTTGAAGGAAGTAGGGCACCTTCGACATTCCTAAAATTACGTTAACATAATTGAAATTTATTAATACTTATATGGTTTCAGTCGTACAGTGTAATGTAACATTTCTACAAATATTTTTATACAAATAACTTCTTTACCTTGTCGCAAGTCTATTGCATATATTCTTTAGGTCTCCTTTCTTACACATGCTTGCAATTCCTATCTTGTATTTGGTCCTTCAAGTGTTTATGATTACGTTGTCCCTTCCTTAAGATGAATATACTTTAACTTTTCCTCATGCTTGATATTTTGTTTCTGTGCTTCTGACATATATTTTTGTAAGAACTCGAATATACATGTATTTATTAACCTTTAATCCTCTAAACTGAATAAATTGAATCTTATAAAATACATTTTTACACTAAACATGCAAAATGTCTTTTTTGTGAGCTACTATAAAGCATTAAATCAAAATGCCGTTTACCGCACTTGTTGCATAATATACTATTAAACGCCAGTAAAACCGAGCAAATAAAAACAATCGACAACAAAACGATTCCCATCGCAACCCGTCTCCCTCTTGCCACATGTGACGCGGTGGGTTGCTTCTTAGTTCTAAATCAATATTTGGCGAATACTTTTAGCGCGTGGTTAATGTAAAATTAAACAAACGTTCGTTAATGCGGACCAACGCGCAAATTTGTGAAAACAATGGGACCCGCGAAAAATCGTATTGTTTAAAAATATTTTCGGTCATTTGAGTAAACTTATTTAATCGTTTCACACGTGCGTCGCGCTAGGCGCTTTCGTAGCCTTCGAATGTTATTTTTTCATAGTGTGCAAATGACTGCACCAGCTAATCGAGTAGATGGTCCGATAAAATGCGACGCGAAATGCGATCGATTAGATTACCGATTTTTAAAGTCTGAGGAATTCTATTTCCAAATCGAAGTTGTTCACTAGGTACTCGTTAGTAATTGAATTAGGGAAAACTTTTAACGAAACCTTTTTGGGAGGGTTTATTGAAGTCAGACTCCAGTGGCAAAGTTAAAAAAACCAAATTATTAATTTCAATGTACAGGGTATCCTAGACAAGGTTACCCTATTAACCCATTAATTAAAAGTTAAATAGAACAGTTTCATCTAGATAATAATAATCTTTATTTTCCAAATTGAAGAATGTAATATACAAATACAAAAAAAATGAATAAAACATCTCTAAACCTGATTATAAAAGACTACAAACAGTTATCTAGGTTAACTAGGTTCAAAAAGTCTTAAGACAACGACAAATAAACTCATTAGCAATCAGCAAGTTTTATTCGATAAAATTAAAAAAAGTGAAAAAGTCTGTAACCCTTCATGACCAGGATTACTGACCTATTGTCAGCACTATTGGTTCTCCAACACGCTTTACAGGGAAAACTTTCACTTCATTGAACAATTAAAAAACCTTACATTAGGTACACAAGATATTCTGGTTAGTTTCGACGTAAATCTCTGTTCCTGAAGCTCTTAAGATCATTTCAGGTATATTCAAATCCGAGAATCTGGTCAAATTTTTAAACAAACGTCGGGAACAGCTATGGGTTTTCCACTATCACCAGTCATCGCGAATATATTTATGGAAGTCCTCGAGAATAAAGCTGTCGACACCTTCCATCTAAAACCAAAATTATGGAATCGCTACCTCTGCTCTTCTCTCTAATAATTTCCACATTACAGGCGGTTCGCGTGGGAGACGTGGTGGAGGGCCTGGAAAAGGGGGAGCAAGCTGCACTCACGCTATGTGACCTCACTATTGGTATTGGTATTGGTATTGGTATTAAAGGAGGGCGCCCTCGCGGGCGTCCAAGCACTTAGGCCACCAGATGGGCCCGTTGTGCTCCCAGGCCGCTCTAGAGGGCGTCCAGAATTCCGCCCCTCCTGTAGAAGATCAGCAACTCCTTTAGCCCAATACCGTGCACTGAGTCCGGATCGATCAGGGCCGTTCCGAAGACTCCCAATCTTGCCCATGTCAAGGCAGGGCACTCGGTGAGCAGATGATACGGGGTCTCCTCCCCTTCCATGCACCACCTACACTCCGGGTCGTCTCCAATGCCTAGCAAGCAGAGATGCCTCCTAAGCCTGCAATGTCCTGTGTAGGCCCCTGTTAGTGCTCTACACTCCCTCCTGGTCAGTCTAAGCAGCTCCCTGGTCCGAGGAAGGGCGGGCCCATCCATCATAAGCCTCGCCTGCCTCATTCCCGGAGCAACTCTCCAGCCCCCCGCGGCCCGGTCTCTCGCCCAGGCTTCGAGAGCTCCCCGCCTCACACACGGGGTGATCCTCAAGCGGGGCTCTGGCCCTATATGCCTATGCGAGGAGCCCTCCCTGGCTAAGGCGTCCGCTGCCTCATTGCCCCTGACACCGGTGTGACCCGGGACCCAGAACAACGTGACCTTTATCTCCTCAGCCACCCTCCTCAGTACCCCTTTGCACTCCTTTATCAACAAGGAGCGCGTACGCACTGACTTCAGCGCCATGAGTGCAGCCCTACTATCCGAGCAGAAGAAGACTCTCCTGCTTCCGTAGTTGAGCCGAAGCACCTCTCTGGCCGCCATCAATAAAGCGAAAATTTCCGCCTGAAACACAGTGCAGTACTGACCCAGAAGGACCGACAAGCTTGATCCCGTTGTCTCGCAGTACGCTCCAGCTCCGGCCAGATCTCCCATTCTGGACCCGTCAGTGTACCAGACAAGTCCATCCCAGGAGCCGACTCTGCCCTCTCTCCAATCTTCCCTTGATGGAAAGAGAAAGGTCAATTTATCAAAGAAGGTCATCTCGGGGATCATGACGTCACTCGGCATGCCCATGACTCCGCGATCCCCGCGACAGCCCTCTAAAATGTCG